TTGTCTAATTATTGATAATAGCATTAAATATGTTGAAATTATTATAAATTATATTTTTTATTTAACCTATAATATTTAATTATAATTTATCGAAAATATATATAATATTAATAATATAAATATATAAACTATCTTGATTGTGTAATCCTGAAATTTATTATTTTTGCAAAATAAAAAAAGAAACAGAACACAGATATTCGTGGAAATTATAGACTTTATTTTTAGAATATTTTGAATATCATAAAACAACGTAAACATTCACAACAAATGGGAATAGGGTGTTATTTATAATAGTAATAATAATAATGTTATTACGTTATCGTAATAATTAATCATTATGAATATGTCATCATGACGTATTTATAATTATATATAAGTAAGATCTTTCATTTAATTTTTAGTAATTATCCGTCATATCTTTATATTTTTCTTTTTTTATTTATTGATAATCATAATAATAGATGATAATCATATTTAATAATAATGATAATCATCGTAATGGTAATAATAATAGTAATAATAATAATAATAATCGTAATATTTCTATACGTATGTTTGTCATGTATATATAAACAAATATAATTATGCTTATCTTGTAAGAAGGGATAGAGTTTATAATAACGCTAAACAATATATGCAATACAGTTCTCTTTTGTTATTTTTGCTGTTGTTTCTGTTGTCAATTCTTTTACCACAATTATTCTCATCACGATAGTCATACAGTCAAAGATGTTAAGAATAAGATTTATCGTAATAGTAAATAGATAATAGTAAACGTGTGTATGTACAATTTTATCGTTGAATGCCATTCTTCAAATGCTGCAAATATATATAAGTTCGATTACAGCTCATGCAGTGTTTTGTGCAAACTCGACGGATACACTTTTATAGGTTTACATTTTACAATTTTGTCGAATCGATAGTGCATTTACGTTGATCAATCGATTAAATACAGAAACAATGAATTGATGATTTTCATAATAAATATGATATAACCACAAAATCGTATGCTAATCACACACTTTTTTTTTAGTTTGTTGCGTAATTATTTTTTAATTGCGTTTCTTTTTTTTATTCTATATATATATAAGTATATCCGCCGAACGAACATTGCATAAAACCAACAAGAGAAACGAAGTCTAAGGCTACGATTTCCCTAGAAAAATTGATTAAAATCGCGATTTTGGACATTCTCTTCGTTCGTCCAACCTCTTTTTATCACGATACATTTCTTGCAATTACCCCTGTTCCGTTACAATTTATTCTTCTAATATTTCGTCTGACTAACTGTTTCCCATTTTCCAGAAGGCAGTTTTATTTGCACATGTGGGAGAAATGAAAAAAACCACAATACATCGATCAAATAACTGATCAATATCTGCTCTTCTTCGGACATTTCAATTATTAACCTCGAAAATTTCGTTTATTTTTCCATATTTTTTTTATTTTTTTATTTTTTTCTTTGTTAACTCGATATGTACATACGATTATCGATATAAGATTATGGATCACAAATTGCGATTAGCAAGCAATCAATGACATTTAACGATAATTACAAAATAATGGTAATCGTATGGTATATAGATATATACACACACGTGCACAAATTTTTATATGTATATGTATATATTTACTGCCGCAGCGATAATACAGAATAATCAGTCGTAACAGGTACATAAAAGTAGTGGCGAATTCGATCGATTGTATTATGTTTTATGTTAAATTTATATGTTATAATTTTATATGTATAATATTTTATTTTATTTAAAATATATGGAAGTTTTTTCTCATAATTTAATGTATATATTTATACAAGAAATTGTAATAAATTAACTTGAAAATAAAAAATATGATGGTTCCATATGAAATTTTTCGTGTAAATTTATCGATAAGTTCGGTAATCGAAAATCGTTGTTCGATATCGAGAGCAACTAATCTCTAGGGAAAAAAGGCGATTTCACTTGCGATCGATCGGATTCGTCATTGCAACGAACGTCATGGCAAAGTAAAGAACGATTCAGTGCTATATAGCAAAATTTCTTCCTTGAACTTTCAAAATGGACACATCATGCCAGATACTACGAAGAATGAGGTTAGATTCAAAATTTTCTTGCATTTTTTATTGTTTTTTTTTTTTTACCAAAATTGTATAAATCCGGATTCGTTCAAGAACTTTTTCCTCTTGAGAAAAGATACTAATTTCAAGATTAAAATTTCCTCACATAGGAAAAGTTTCTTTTGATTGAATATCCATTATATATATTATACCATATATTATATATATATATATTTATGGCTTATGTGTCTCTTATTATATGTATTCGTTTCCTTGCTCTTTTTCATTGTGTACATGTGTATGTATACGCATATGTGTGTGTGTGTGTGTGTGTATATATATATGTATATAAAAAGATGAGAATCATGTAACTTAACTTCGTATGTATACATATTATGCGTATATACATGTATATAACCATTTATAAGTCATCGCAAAACTCTGTTCCCCGACATGCGCCATTTTATCGAGTTGTATGCGCCAACGAGGCTATTGTATTGCTTGTCGATCATCGAAAAAGGTTCGATAGGTATCTGAACATTGATAGATATTTATCTTGATGATTTCTTTTCTTGGCAGATAGAATTCGAAGAATTAACAAAGGTTTTAAAAAAAATTGATCATATTTTTTGAAACAATATTATTATTATTATTGTTATTATTATTATTATTATTATCATTTTGAAGACATTTCATTTTTTGAAGATACATACGTAAAAAAAAAAAAAAAGGAACTCTGTAAAATTTCCGGTGTAGATTGTATTTGGTTTTTTATATTCTTAAAAATTCATGTGTATTTTTTGTTAAAGCGTTTACATGTGGTTCCTTGATAATTAATAATGCAATCGCAGATTCTTTCGATTTTTTTTATCGCTCTGCTTTTCCTTCGACTTCCTTCTTATTGAAAATCTAGATACTAAACATCGACGCATATGATTTCGGGTGACGCTACAAATCGCGGAGTAATATTAGACAGAAATAGAAAGAGATATAAAGAGAGATAGAGAAAAAGAGTGCGTGTCTTTGAAAAATGTAGATAAAATGGTAAAATCCTCGTTTAGCTGTTCTCCTTGTTCATATCACGGAGGGACAAAAAGTATTTCGAACGAGTTCGTAACAATCTAAGAGATCGCTCCACTCTTCACTGCTCGATTTCCCATTCGATCGACTTCTAATTGTAAAGTTATACACGCTATTAAAAAATCGAATACGGTTATATTACATGTTAATGTAATGTATACTTTTTTTTATTTACTTAATTTTCTTTCTTCTTTATTTTTTTTAATCATTACAAAAGACATAATTATTCATTTTTTCTGAAAACATTTTGTTTCTTTTTTTTTTTTTTTTTTTTTTTTTAACATTTCAAAAAACAAAATTTTTTCTTTTTTTTGAAAAAATTTTTTTTTTTTTTTTTTTTTTTTAACATTTCAAAAAACAAAATTTTTTCTTTTTTTTGAAAAAATTTTTTTTTTTTTTTTTTTTTTTTAATCATTACAAAAAACATAATTATTTTTTTTTTTTGAAAACATTTTTTTTTTTTTTTTTTTTTTTTTTTTTAGATTTTAAGAAAATGCAAATGTTTTCAGAATCAATAATATAATAAAAGATATATATTCTGTTATCCATGATTTTCGATCTCTTTTGACTTTTTCTGAATGTGATGTATACGATTCAGCATGTAATATAATCGTAAATGTTAAATCGCGTATTAAAGTTATATATTTAATGCATATTACATGCATGTTATGTTATTATACCCGTACTTTTTCGTACAATGATGAAACTTAAATTGTGAGACAAAAAAAAAAAGAAAAAAAAAAGAATCGATCCGGGAGTCGAGAGGATGTTTTAGTGGATGCGCATATAAGTCTAAGAGAAAGGCTTTGGGTTCAATCCCAATCGTAAGCTTAACGATATACACGCTTCTACATTATAATACAGTTCTCGTTTTTCTTTTTTTTTTTCTATTGATCTTTGCTACGCCAATGCATGCACTTCGTCCATTTTTTAGATTTTGTTTAACGATTCTTTTTTTTTTTTTTAATTATCTTAGAAAAACAACGCGAAAGTGTAAATCGATAAGTTCGTTGGATTAGCGTTATTTACTTTATCGATAGAATTTAAGGATCAATTAGAAGGAAATGCATTGATCGCGACAAAGAACACGTAGATTTGTCATTATGAAAACGAGGACGGTTCGGATGCAACATAAATGATGATCATATCCTTTTCTAAAGGACCCGATTGATATTCGGTATTTTCCGTGCAATGATAAAAGGATACGACCGTCAAGGATGATCCTGTATTCTTATTCTTAACGATACATTTCTCTTTTCATCAAATAATGCAAAAATGATCGGCGTATGATTGTATCGCGTTTCTTCGATAAATTGTACAATTATAATCGTTATTATAATTGTATTTGCCTGATGTCATAAACAGAGTTATAAATTGCACTTTGATCCATGCAAAAAGATTGAAGCAAACAATTAATTCTGATATTTTATCACAGGATCAATCCTTTCTTCGGATCGATAACGAATCACGCACGTATGGAATATCGTTATCGATCCACGGTGATCCGAGCCGAGTCGATAAGGTTTTCAACGATTTATCGACGATCGATCATTGATTTTTTTATTTTTCCTTCTTTCTTTTCTTTTCTTTTTCTTTAACCTATCTAAAAAGATTTCTACGACACGATATATATTAGGATTAAGACGCCCGCAGAAATATGTACAATATGTTTTAAGAGGCGACTGCATAAAAACGTACGTTGGGACACGGTTCGCGTTCAGGAATCATATCATCAACTCTGTCCACCTGTTTTCTAATCGTTTTGCATTGCTTTTTGATTACCTCCTTACTACCACTCGATATAAAAAAATCGCTTCGTTAAACAAGGGCCCCGATAATAATTTCATCGTTCTAGCATATTTTGTATTCTTTTTCTTCATCTTTGTTTTTTTTTTATCTTTTTCTTTTGAGCGCAATTAGGTAACGCTAACAATTAAGTACACTACACTGTATGTGAAATAACGATAATTAATGGTAAAAGTTGAATAGCAATTGTGCTGGACACTATATATGTCTTAATTAAAGGATATTGCCATAAATGTCTTATTTAACTGTACATTTTCATCCTTATTCTGTGATTTTACACATTCAAAAGATATTTATATTCTTTCTGTATTCTCTATTTTACTTTTGTGTCTTATTATTGTTTTGCGAAATACTAGAACAATATTTCTTATGCATAATACATAATATAATATAATACAAATTAAATCAATAGAAATCGAATTTATCAATAGAATAAAAGTTCCATTGATGTGTACAGAAATATTTAACATCATAAGTTTACACTTGAAAAATGACTGAACATTAAAAATCTCGCGAGCAGACGGAATTAAAATTTACGATACGATAAACACACTGAACGAATTAATATTTTTTATTATTATAGACAAATATAAGAATTTCTTTATTTGCAGAATAGAAAAAACTAGAATGGAAAAGAAATGGATAACCAAGGAAAACGTGATTATCGTGCAAGCAAAAAATGGATAAGTCGAGTTTTAGTTTAAAAGAGGACAAGCGGATTTTTGGTTACATAATCCTGAATCACCATTATCGTGTCACCCTCGTCGTAACGCAGCTGAAATGACCATCACAATATCGAACAGCAGTAACAGATAATATACATTATGTATATTAACTTTACCAATAGATCTCCGATTTTTATTTTATTTTCATCTTCACTTGGTAAACACTCACTCACACTTTTTATGTACTTTGAAATATTTTTTTTTGTTTCGATAATGACAATATGAGAATATTAAATATATAGCATCGGTAACATCGGTGTTAACGATAACGATAATAATTAATAGAAGTAATGATATAATTATGATAATAATAATAAGAATAATCATATAATGACAATAATCAAATAAGTAAGAATAATCGTATCTCACGATGACCGCGATAATAATCATAATAATTAATTAACATTATATCATATGTATAATATTTATATATATTTATATGTATTTTTTATTTATAGCTGTATATTTTATATATATATATATAATTGTATTTTATTATTATTTAACACATTTCTTTTGTACAAGTAAATCAATTAAGAATAAGTACAACTTCGTAGCAAAGAGAGATAGAATTATATTATTCACTGTATATTTTTATCCATAGTGAGAAGATATATATATATATATATATATAT